TTTATATGGTATAAGACATGAGACTTTTGCATGTGGTGGTTCAGTTTTCCCAATAACATTTATTGAAGAGGCTGTCTTTTCCCCATTGCATATTCTTGCCTCCTTTATCATAGATTAAATGACCATATAAGCATGTGTTTATTTCTGGGCTCTCTATTCTGTTCCATTAACCTATATGTCTGTTTTTGTGCCAATGCCATTTTGGGTTTTTTTGGGTTGTTTTGTTTTTATGCGGTACACGGGCCTCCCACTGTCGTGGCCCCTCCCATTGCGGAGCACAGGCTCCGGACGCGCAGGCCCAGCGGCCATGGCTCACGGGCCCAGCCGCTCCGCGGCATGCGGGATCCTCCCAGACCAGGGCACGAACCCGCGTCCCCCGCATCGGCAGGCAGACTCCCAGCCACTGCGCCACCAGGGAAGCCCCTGCCGTTTTGTTTTAATTACTGTAGCTTTGTAGTATAGTTGAAACTTAGTGTGATACCTTGGGCTTTGTTCTTCTTTCTCAATATTGTTTTGGCTATTTGGTGTTTTTTGTGTTTCCATATAAATTTTAGAATTATTCTAGTTCTGTAAAAAATGCCATTGGTATTTTTATAGAGTTTGCATTGAATCTGTAGATTGCCTTGGGAAGTATGGTTATTTTAACAATATTCTTCCAATCCATGAGCACAGTATATCTTTCCATTTGTTTCTGTTGTCATCAATTTCTTTCATCAGTGTCTTAGAATTTTCCAAGTATAGATATTTTACCTCCTTGGTTAGATTTATTCCATGGTGTTTTATTCTTTTTGATGCAGTTGTAAATGGGATTGTTTTCCTAATTCCTCTTTCAGATAGTTTGTTGATAGTGTATGGAAATGCAGCAGATTTCTGTATAGTGATTTTGTATCCTGCAACCTTACTGAATTCATATATTAGTTCTAATAGTTTGGCTGTATCTTTAAGATTTTCTATATGTAGTATCATGTCATCTGCCAACAGTGACAGTTTTACTTCTTCCTTTCCGATTTGGATTCCTTTTATTTTTCTTCTGATTGCCGTGGCTAGGACTTCCAGTACTATGCTGAATAACAGCGTCAAGAGTGGGCCTCCTTGTATTGTTCTTTATCCTGGAGGAAATGCTTTCAGCTTTTCACCATTGAGTATGATGTTAGCTGTGTGCTTGTCATATATGGCACATATATGTGCCCTATATTTAGTATGTTCCCTCTATACCCACTTTATGTTCCCTCTATACCCACTTTCTTAAGAGTTTTTATCATGATTGGATGTTGAATTTGGTCCAAAGCTTTTTCTGAGTCTATTAAGATGATCATGTGATTTTTATTCTTCTGCTTGTTAGTGTGGTGTATCATGTTGACTGTTTCGTGAATATTGAACCATTCTTGCATCCCTGGGCTAAATCCCACTTGATCGTGGTATATGATCCTTTTAATGTATTGTTGAATTTGGTTTGCTAATATTTTGTTGAGACTTTTTTCATCTATGTTCATCAGTGATATTGGCCTGAGATTTTCTTTTTTGTGTGCTGTCTTTGTCTGGTTTGGGTATCAGGGTGATGCTGGTCTTGTACAATGAGTTTGGAGGCATTCCTTCCTCTTCAGTTTTGGAAAGGTTTGAGAAGAATAAGTGTTAACTCTGATTTAAATTTTTGGTAGAATTCACCAGCGAAGCCAGCTGGTTCTGGACTTTTGTTTGTTATTACTGATTCAGTTTCATTACTGGAATCGGTCTGTTCATATTTTCTGTTTCTTCCTGATTTAGTCTTAGGAGATTGTACATTTCTAGCAATTTATCCATTTTATTGGCCTGTAATTGTTCACAGTAATCTCTTATGATCCTTTGTGTTTCTGTGGTGTCAGTTTTAACTTCGCCTCTTTCATTTCTGGTTTTGTTTGGTCCCTCTCTCTCTTCTCTTGATGATTCTGACTAAAGGTATATCAATTTTGTTTTTCTTTTCAAAGAAGTAGCTCTTAGTTTCATTGCTTTAGAATTTCTTCTGCTAAATTTGGGTTTTGTTTTTTCCTTTTCTAGTTCCTGTAGGGATAAGATTAGCTTGTTTGAGAGTTTTCTTGTTTCCTGAGGTAGGCTTGTTTCACTGTAAGCTTCCCTTAGAACTGCCTTTGCTGCGTCCCATAGATTTTGAATCGTTGTGTTTACATTTTTATTTGTCTCCAGGTATTTTTGAAATTCTTCTTTGGTTTCTTCATTGATGCACTGGTTGTTGAGGAGCATATCGCTTAGCCTCCGTGTTTTGTGTTTTTTGAAGTTTTTTTCATGTAGTTGATTTCTAGTTTCATAGTGTGGTTGGAAAAGTTGCTTGATATGACTTCAGTCTTCTTAAATCTACTGAGCCTTGTTTAGTGGCCTAGCATCATGTGATCTATCATGGAGAATGCTCCATGTGCACTTGAAAAGAATGTGTATTCTGCTGCTTTGGGCTGGAATGTTTTATATATTTATATATATATAATATATACATATCTATATATATGCACGCACCATTTGGTCTAATGTGTCATTTAAGGCGTTTCCTTATTGATTTTATGTCTAGATGATCTATTCAATGATGTGAGTGTGGTGTTAAAAGTCTCTTAATATTATTGTATTGCTTTCGGTTTCTCCCTTTAAGTCCATTAATGTTTGCTTTATAGATCTTGGTGCTTCTGTGTTACGTGTATATACATTTATGTTACATCTTCTTGCTGGATTGACCTATTTATCATTATGTAATGCCCCTTTTATTACAGTCTTTGTTTTAAAGTCTGTTTTGTCCGAGTATAGCTTTTCATTTCATAGAATATCTCTTTCCATCCCTTCACCTTCAGTCTGGGTCTCTCCTTATTTCTGAAATGAGTCTTTTGTAGGCCACATGTAGATGGGCCTTATTTTTTAATCCATTCAGTACTCTATGTCTTTTGAGTGGCAAATTCAGCCCATTCACATTTAAAATCATTATTTTATAGGCATGTACTTATTGCCATTTTCTTAATTATTTTCTGGTCGTTTTTGTAATACGTTTGGAAAGGTCAGCTACTAGTCTTATGGGAGTTCCTTTGTATTAACTAGTTGTTTTTCCCTTGCTGCTTTTAAGATTCTTTATTTTAATTTTTGCCATGTCAATTACAATATGTCTTGGTGTGGACCTCTTTGGGTTCATCTTATTTGGGACTCTCTGGGCCTGCATGTCTGTTCGTTTCCCAGGTTAGGGAAGTTTTCAGTTATTATCTCTTCAAACCGTTCTCTGCCCCTTTCTCTATTCTCAAGTTCCCTATTATTTGAACGTTAGCGCACTTGATATTGTCCCAGAAGTCTCTTTTTTCTGTTTAGATTGGGTGATTTCTACTACTCTGTCTCCTAGTGTGCTGATCTGTTCCTTTGTGTCAACTAATCTACTCTTGATTCCATCCAGTGTATTTTTTCTTTCAGTTACTGTGTTCTTCAGCTCTGGTTCTTCTTTATATTTTCTAACGCTTTATTAAAAACTTCTAACGTCTCACTGTGTTCCATCCATTCTTCTCCCAAGTTCATTGAGCATCTTTATGATCATTACCTTGAACTTAGCAGGTCGATTGCCTGTCTCCCCTTTGCTCAGTTCTTCTGGGGTTTTATCTTATTCCTTTGTTTGTAACATATTCCTCAGTCTCCTCATTTTGCCTAATTCTGTTTTTATTTCTGTGTGTTAGGTAAGTTGGTTACATTTCCCAATCTTGGAGAACTGGACTTTTGTAGGAGATGTCCTATGGGGCCCAGCAGCACACACCCCTCTGGTCACGAGATAGATATATGCTCTAGGGTCACCCCCTTTGAGGGCAGCATGGGCCCTTCCATTGTGGTAGAGATGACTACCACAGGAACACTGGTAGGTGGGGCTGCCAGGTCACCTACCCAAGTGTGTGGGTCTTGACTCTACCATGTCTCTGTCCCACTCCTTCTCATTGTGACTCCTTCATATCTTTAGTTGTGGAAGATTATTTTCTGCTAGTCTTCCAATCATTCTCGTCTACGGTTGCTATATCTACAGTTGTAATTGTGGAGTGCCCATGGAGGAGGTGAGCTCAGGGTCTTCCTACTCTGCCATCTTGGCCACCCCCCCACCCCCCGTTTTTTGGTTCACGAAATAGTCCTCACATCCGCTTGCCAGTCATTTCAAATATCCTCACCTGCTTCCTCTGCCCATTTGATACTGATCTTCATGTTTACATAAATGGCATCTTGCATATTTTTTTTTATAAAGGAGGCTTGGATAGGTTGAGGTCTGCATGCGTTTAAGAACAGTAGTCAACTAAACTCGAGTGTTGGGGCCTCTCGTAAGATCACATGTCACTGCTGATGGCTGGGTCAGGGGACTCTGAAGTTGCAGAGGAGAATGGGTACACATCAGACTCTGGTGTCAGAGAAAGAGATGGCCCACAGGTAAAAGCTGTGTACTTCACCTTTGGGAGAAGTCAGACTCCCAGGAATTAGACAGCTCAGTCAGTCCAAATGCTGCTGTCCCTGCCCTTCCTGCCTGTCACTAGTCCCCTGGAGAGGTGAAAGTCGGCACTTGGTGTATATTTTGAGTGAGGAGAAACCGTGTGTGTGTGTGTGTGTATGTGTGTGTGTGTGTGTGTGTGTGTGTGAGAGAGAGAGAGATGTATTTTTGATTAAAAATGATTGTTTTAAGTTTTTTTACTTCTTAAAGTTATTTGGTCATTTTAGACTGCAGTGATGTAAATAAAAATTCAAAAGAAAACGAATAATGGTGATCACTAAAGGCTGTTTTGACATTTGACGTCTGGTACCGTTCCACCAGACTGGCAGGGGCACATGGTGCTGCGGGCCTGCTGGCCAGGGTGACCCTGACCCTGGGTGTCACCATCCAATCCTGGGCCATGCACAGGGGTGGCACTGCTGCCCAGTGTGGCCTCCTAGCCCCTGCCTCTGCACAGCACGATGGCAGCACCCTCGTCCCCCCAGTTTACAGGGAGCCTGACTGAAACCCCTCTGTTTGCTCCCAGCTTGCGGACTCACTGGTACCCATGGAGATCAAGCCTGGCGTTTCCTTGGCAACCGTCTCGGCCGTGCTGCACACTAAAGATAACAAGCACATTCTCCAGGTATTGTCGGGGAGGGCGAGGGCCCTGAGATACAGCGGACCTGCGGGAAGAACCCCGTGCAGGTGGGGGCCCTCCCCCCAGCGCCTCGCGCCTCACTTCATGGCACGTGTGCGCCTTGGGGGCAGCTCTTTGGGCCCTTGTCTTCACCCCCGCCCCGAGAAAAACCCCCTTCAGGGTTGGGCTGTGTCGCTCTTGTTCCTCTGCATCACGTGCCCATAGCGGCCACTTAAAGTGCGCTGGACCCCGGGCCAGGGCCCTACCGGGCGTTGTCTTATTTAATCCTCACAAAGTTCTCTTTACTATCACTGTCTTAGAGGCAGTCTCTCTGCCCTTCATTTTCTTGACAGAAGGACTGTAGCCAGTCAATCTGACCCCACAGCCAGTGTTCTCGGAGCTGCTGCCCCTTCATAACCGACACGGGTTATGAAGACCTTACGTAGACAGCACTGAGTTCAGTCAACTGAAAATTAAGAATAGATTTTGTAAAAGGAAGATATCTTTGCCGAATAAGGTGTTAATTCTATGTGGATAGTTGGCTTTAGCTTGTGTGCATTATGTGGAAATCCAGCTGGAGTCCCAGCTAATGGTGACCCTGAACGCAGGCCCAGGGCCCTTCCAGGAAGCGGGTCCCGCGGGCCGGGTAGCTTCACTCGGGCTCCCGGGTGGCTCCTTGATGAGATCCCTGTTTTCCTCCCACCCAGCCCCCGCCCAGGCCTGCCCAGCCCACAGGCGGCAAGAAGAGAAAGCGGGCCAGTGACGACATTCCAGACTGCAAGGTTTTGAAGCCTCTGCTGAGCGGCTCCATCCCCGTGGAGCAGTTCGTGCAGACACTGGAGAAGGTGAGCGGGTAGGGTGCGCCGTCTGAGGCACCACGGCCCCGCTCCCGGGAGCGCGTGCTGCTGCTGTTCGCGTCTCCACTGTCTGCGCTGCTGGCCCTGCAGCATCTGCTCGCTCCTCGGTCATGGCGGGGACAGAACCAGGCGAGGGCCATGGAGACTTAGAGGAGAGCGGGCCCCCCTTCCCCCCAGCACCAGGCTGCCCCCCACCCCCACTTCTCGTGGGAACCAGACCAAGGAGGGGCCTTTCTTTCTTCGAGGACGTAGCTGTGACAGATGGGGTAGGGGGACGGCCAGGAGAAAGAAGGGTCTGCCCCCTCTAGAGCCCCACTTTCCTATGAGAAGACCCCTTGCTGTCAGAGCTAGCATGGCCAGGTCAGAGGCGAGACTCGGGGGCACAGGGGTCACTGATGCCAGATCCGCAGGCACTCAGGAAGCAGAGCCAGCGATTCCCAGACCAGGTGGGAGGAGAGAGAAGCAGGCAGTCATTGTAGAGGATGGTGGTGCCTGCACTGGCTCAGCGGCCATCCCGCCCCTTGTCCCTGCTGGCTGCTCCCCGCAAGGCACAGATTCCATGACTACAAGTAAAAAGAAAAAAGTTTAACCTGAAAAGATTTTGTAATTCTGGCTTTAGTCACAGGACTTCAGAGATCCCTGTTTTGGCATCAGAATTATAGAATCCTTGATAGAAAAGAGGAGGAATTGGCTAAAGATAATATTATTCGTGTTGCTTCTTGCAAGAAGAACTGCAACTATAGTAGATCATTACAGGAAAAGAGACTTTCTTTTGTTAAACTAGTTACTGCCTTTTGTCCAAACTAAATAACTCAGTCGCTGAGTTCTTTCAAATCTTAAAAGCTTTCTCTTTATTGGGAATTGTTTTCTTCAGTAGTCGTTTAATTTTCCCTGAAGGGAGGGCTTTCCCCGAGTTGTGTGGCTCTCCTGGCCCCTAGTGACATGGGGATACCCCGTGGGAATTACCCCAGGGAGTCCCATGTGCCGTGATCACACCAGTACCAGCTTCCTCCCGACCGTGCTGCGCCCCCCGGCCCTGCTGACGGGACTCACGCTTGACTTGTTTCTTAAAATCTTGAAACAACTTGCTTTCCCAGAAAGACTTTGTTTAGCTCTTCTGCCTGGGTGCTCGGGAGTTGACCCCTAGGCCCCGACCCTAGCTACTCCCCCCACCATTTCTGCCCCACCTCCTTTGCAGTAGGAATATCCGTGGCTGCCCCAAACTACACGTGAGATTTCCAGAGCCAAGTGTGGAGAATCTCCCTAGGTCACGTTCATTTACCTAGCCTGGGTCCTTTTCAGGCAAATTAGTCCTCTTTCCATTTCTTTTCTTCTTTCTCAACTTGACATGTGATGTGTAAGAAAATTCTGAATTAGCATTGGAGGTGGCCCTGGAGAAGTATTTGATATGCTGCCTTATCTGTCTTCTCCCTTGGGAGGAATTTGCCACATCAAAAGGTCAGTGGTGGGCTTCCCTGGTGGCACAGTGGTTGAGAGTCTGCCTGCCGATGCAGGGGACACGGGTTCGTGCCCCGGTCCGGGAAGATTCCACATGCCACCGAGCGGCTGGGCCTGTGAGCCATGGCCGCTGAGCCTGCACGTCCGGAGCCTGTGCTCCGCAACAGGAGAGGCCGCAACAGTGAGAGGCCCGCGTACCGTAAAAAAAAAAAAAAAAAAAGGTCAGTGGTATCTTGCTGTGAAGAATGGCATTTTCCTGGGACAGGATGGAGTTTTACCAGGGACCACAGGCGTGGTATGGAGGCTGGTATGGAACAGCGTGGCATCCCAGGCTCCTGAACTCAGGTGCTTAGATGTGCTCCTCAGATAAAAGCTTAAGCAGGTTGTAGGAATTCTGCTGTGTTTTGCATGAGATTTTTGCATGTTTAGGGGCTTCAGTTTGAATTCTGTTGCTGTAGCTGGTCCTGTGATTAGTCTGTAGAGTTGTACTGAGTGTCCAAAATGCCAGTTTCTAGGATGTTCAGTTTAGCCAATTCTAGGAAGCATGATTTTAGAACTCTGTTGCTGAAATATCCTCTGGCTTTTCAGAGCACCCAACATCCTCCTGTCCCTTTTCTTTTGGAGCAGCATGGCTTCAGTGATATTAAGGTGGAAGACACAGCCAAGGGCCATATCGTCCTGCTACAGGAAGCTGAGACACTCATCCAGATCGAGGAAGATTCGACCCATATCATCTGTGACAATGACGAGATGCTCAGGGTACGGCTGCGGGACCTTGTCCTCAAATTCCTACAGAAGTTCTGAGTGGAACACGAAAGCCATCTCCACTTCCCTGAGACCCTGCTGCAGGCCTTCACTGTGGCTGCCCAGCACCCAGCGGAGGAAGGCCATGCAGCCTGGCAGGTCTCTGTGGTGGTGGTCTCTGGCTTGAGCAACATTCTCAGGAGTTACGGCCAGAATCTCCCGGTCTGGCTTCTTGGCAGTGTTTCAGGCAAGAGCTTTTCCTTTAACCTTCAGCCTCGTCTTCTTCCCAGTCCTGCCTCTCTCAGGTAGCCAGGCAGGTGAGGCAACAAGCCGAGGAGAAGGCTGAGAGCTACAGCATCTTTCCAGGAGGTTAATAGTGGACGGAGAGGTAAAAGATGAGGACTTGTGACTGTTTTTCATGGTTTCACAGGCCTTGGGCAGGGGAACTAGTCTTTGAGTTTGTTTTATTGTCTACAGTGCTGTACCTGATAAGAAAGATGGTCCCCCAAAATTAGCAAAATGAACCCATCTGTCTGTATTTTACAATGTGAGCTCATTTTGTTAATAAAACTTATTTTTTATAGAAGTAGCTGTGTTCTGGTAAATCTACAATTTATATAGCCATTTAGTATCTGAAAGAATATGAAAATATACAGAACTGAACTTAGAAAACACCACAGCAAATTTTAGTTTGGTATGTGCATTAGTATATTTCTTAAATTGTACAAACGGGTGCTTAACTTCCTCTGAGCTGTGTCAGTATGAGAAACACCAGCACAGAGCGCTGACACTGACCTTGACCTTCTGGGGGAGGGCCTGAACCAGCATCTCAGGCTCCACCCACAGCCTCCGCTCACCACTGCTTCTCCCACAGATGATCAGGATTCCCCGCATTCCGCTGAGCAGTAAACTCAGATGCCTGTGTCTGAAATAATGGAATTGCTTAAAACAGGTATTTACCAGATTACATCAACTCTGAGATAGCATCATTTGTAACACACATGCCAATTTTGCAAGTATTAAAATGTGGGGAGTAGCATACAAGTCTTAGAACTGGCCAGCAGTGGAAGTAGACGCTTACCGTCTTTTCGGACCAGTTGAAATTCAGTCGGAGGTCAGTCCAACCTGGCCAGCAGCAAAGCGTCACAAAGGGCTTTAGTGACCCAAGAACTGTAACACTATAGAACTACTTCCTCAGGTTTCATGGAGAGTTGGCTGTCAGTTCTGTCTCTGGAATGGACATGTCAGTGGGAAGCAGTTCTTCATTGGAGGAGGAAAAAGGCAACTTCATTTTTGCCATCTCCAACTTTGCCAGCCTTGGGCCCAGGAATGTTTCAACCGTTCTCTGTTTCCCAATGTGCAGGTCATTCCAATCAAGGGGCCCAGGGTGTGTCTACAGAATAAACTTCGGGAGAGGATTAACATTACAAGAGACGGACATGCCATGGTTATGAAAATTTAGTTTTGTTTTTAGTAGGAGAATTGTAAATATGCAGCACATGTAGGCATACTTCCTAATAAAACTTGAGAGAAATCAAGTTTTTTTAAGTTTTCTTAACATCTTGAAAAATGCAAAAGCAGTATGAAATAGAAAGAAAAATCAAAATGATTATTTTACTTAAATGTTCCAACAATGATACGTCCAGGAATGACTTGGATTTGTCCAAGTTGGATTTCTGTTAAGGGCTTGATTAATCCCAGGGGATCAGTGAGAGGTGCTTGAGAGGTGGTTACTAAAGAGGCAGATAGTCCGTAAACTGATGTGCAGGAAATAAGAAATGATGACGGTTTTAATTGTCATTACCACCTACTTCATGGCAGAAGCCAGAGAGAGGAAGAAGCAAAGAATCATTTGTTAGAGCAGAGAAATCTAGAGCTGGCCCTCCCAAGTATTAGGAGAGAGCAGTTATGAATAATAACTCTACCTAGAGTTCAGGTATTTGGATACCAAACCAGGTTGGTGAATAGAAGACCCAGAAGAAATGGTGGAACCTGCTGTTAGCGCTAGAATTATACCACCCATAGTGGCTTTGTTATTTGGAAATGCAGCCCGCTGACTATTCGCACTGATCTGGGGAAGAGACTGACATTTAGAAAAATTTCTACTCATAAGCCCAACAAATGCCTAATGATTAAATAGTAATTGAAAAACCATTAAAAATAGTGAGGAGGGACCTGATTTTCTTATTTCTTTTGATCTTTCTGCAAAGTAGTATATCTATTGCTGTGTAGCAAATTAGCCCAAAATTTAGTGGCTTAAAATAGCAAACACTTATTATCTCACTGCTTCTGTGGGTCAGGAATCTGGTGTGGCTTAGCTGGGCGCTCCTGGTTCAGGGGCATCTCTCCACAGGGCCACAGTCAAGGCGCTGGATGAGGAAACTGAGGTACAGCAATTAACTTTCCCCAAAACCCATCGCCAGTAAGTGGCTTCTGCCTTACCTTAACATCGTGTGTGAGCACCAGGGGTCAGGAGCTGGGGAAGGGACTTCAGGCGTATCGTCCATTTCTTCTTAAGTAATGGTAACAACTATTTGTCGTCTTGACCCCTGGAGAGCTTGAAGGCTTTGGGCCTCACCGTTGTCCTATAAAGGCAGAAGTTGGCTTTTCCAAACTATAGACATACCTTGGGGATATTGCTGGTTTGGTTCCAGACCACAACAATAAAGCACATTATCACAATAAAGCAAGTCACATGGATTTTTTCATTTCCCAGTGCATTTAAAAATTATGTTTATACTGTAGTCTAGTCTATTAAATGTGCAATAGCATTATTTTTTTTTAAAAAAGTGTACAGACCTTAATTTTAAAATAATGCTGCTGGGGAAATGGCACTGATAGACTTACTTGACGCAGGGTTGCCACAAACCTTCAATCTATAAAAAAAATCAGTATCTGCAAAGCACAATAAAATGAGGTTTGCCTGTACAGTGAAGTATCAACAGAAATGAGAGTGAAGAAACCTCCAAAGCTGTATGATCATATAGTCACGTGAGCCAAGCAAACTGGAGAGGAGCTACTTTCCTTTGGCCCAAGTCCAGTTTTTCCCCTACAGCCATGAGGAAAGTTGAATGCTGTCTCATTGTTTTCATGCCATACTGTGGGAAGGTAGAAAACCTCTGATGTCCCCAAATTCACTGCAGTGGAACTATGGGTAAATAACTTTACTCTTTTTCAAACCTAGAATGAGGTAAAAATAACCAACTACAGTTCTGACAGAAGTCGCAACTAAATTATGGAGATAGGCAATGTAGAACTGAGCCAAACATGTCTAATCTTGCAGGAGGCTGCAGCCAACACGGTTCTTGGATCCCATTTTAGGTTTAATCACATCATAGAAGCATTTTACCATCTATAGATTCAATGCCATCCCTATCAAAATTCCAATTGCATTTTTCACAGAAGAAAAAACTCAAATTTGTATGGAACCAGAGAAGACCCTGAATAGCGCCCCCCCCCAAAAAAAACATGAGAAGAACAAAAGCTGGAGGCACAATTCCTGATTTTAAGCCTTATTACAAATCTATAGTAACCAAAACAGTATGGTACTGACAAAAATAGACACACAGGCCAATGGAACAAAATCGAGGGCCCAGAAATAAACCCACACATATACAGTCAACTAATATCGACAAGGGAGCCAAGAAGACTCAATGAGGGAAGGACAGTCTTGTCAGTAAGTGGTGTTGGGAAAACTGGATAACCACACACAGAAGAATAAAATATCTTACACCACTCATAAAAATTAACTTGAAAAGGAATAACGACTTAAATGTTTAAGACCCAAAACTAGAACTACTGGAAGAAAACGTAGGGTGAAAGCTCCTTGACATTGGTCTTGGCAACAGTTTTTTGGCTATGACACCAAAAGCACAAGCAACAAGAGGAAAATAAACAACTGGGACTACATCAAGCTAAAAAGCTTCTGCATAGCAAAGGAAACCAGCACAATGAAGAGGCAACCCAATGGGAGAAAATGTTTGCAAACTATCTGATAAGGGGTTAAGAGCCAAAATATATCAGGAATGCATACAAATCAATAGCAAAAAAAGTGGGCACAGGACTTGAATATACATTTTTCCAAAGACATACAAATGGGCCAAAAGGTACATGATAAGGTGTTCAACATCACAAATCATTACCATACACATACACAATGGAATATTATTCAGCCATAAAAGAGAAGGAATTCCCATCTTTTACAACAACATGGATGGACCTTAAGGGCATTATGCTAAATGAAATAAGTCAGACAAGCACTATATGTTCTCACTCATGTAGAATCTAAAAGAGCTGAACTCAAAGATAGAGTAGAATGGTGGTTGCCAGGGGCTAGGATAGGAGGTGGGGAAATGGGGAGATACAAATGTCCAGCTATAAAATGAATAAGTTCTAGGGATCTAATGTACAGCATTGTGACTGTAATTAACAATGCTGTATTATATACTTGAAAGCTGTTAAGAGAGTAGATCTTAAAAGTTATTACCACACAAAAAGGTAATTATGTGACAGGATAGAGTTAACCTTATTGTAGTAATCATTTCTCAGTGTATATGTGTATCAAATCATGTGTACACCTTAAACTTACATATGCTGTACGTCAATAATATCTCAGTAAAACTGGGGGAAAATTACATGTATTAAACGTAAGCATTTTTTGAGTCATAGGACCACAGATCTTTGAAAGGTGTTTTGCCCACATCTTGTCATTAAACATGTGGAGTATTTCTTCTCTCCCTTATATTGTTATCTGAGGCCACTGAAAACAATAGGAGTGTATCCTCTGCATGATAATTCTTATGTTAGCAGAATTTATCCTTTACCCTTCTCTACGATAAACCACAGTAGTAATATCTAAGGCATTTGTAAGTCTTCATGACATACAACTATGAAATCAGTCACAAATGAAAACTCACTTTAATGCACATCATTACAGTAATTTGGGGTTACTAAACACACCAACTAAAAGTTTGATAACATTTTTTAGAATATCTAATATAAATTTTTAATCTAGTAACTAATTACACTGCTCACAATATTTTGAAAATAAAGAACTTTATTCTTTATTTTTGTTACAAAGTCTTTTCCAATCATCTATAGGCCCTTCCAGCCATCAGTGAGTATTTATTAAGCTATTATATCCTGTGCATTGTGTTGTCTCCGATGACTTTTAACTCACCAGAATAACAGACAAAATACAAGTTTCTCCCAAACTTCTCACAAGTATAGAGAAGCAGATTTCCAGGAACATGAGCAAAATATTGTTTAAATAGAAAACCATACATAGAATTAATAAGTTAGCAAGATTGCAGAATATAAGGTTAATATACAAAATCAACTGTATTTTATATATTAGTAATAAATAATTAGAAAAAGAACTTGTTAAAAAACAGCAGTTCTACTCTTAATAGTGTGAAAAGACACAGGAATAAACTTTTGAAAAAGATGTGTAAGATCTCTACACTAAAAGTCTCAAAATTGTGATGACAGAAATTAAATAAGATCAGAATACATGAAGAGATATATCATATTCATGGATTAGAGACTCAGTATTATTAGTATTTCAATTCTACACATTGATATACAGATTCAATACAATCTCATCAAAATCCCAGTGGATAACAAAAAAAATGTTTTTTTTTAATGGGCAATGGACTTGAATAGACATTTCTCGGAATAAAATATACAAATGGCCAATAAGCACATGAGAAGGTATTGAACATGATTAGTCATTAGGGAAACGTAAATCAAACTGTCAAAGAGGTATCACTGCACACCTACTAGGATGGCAATAATTTTTAAATTATTAATTACAAAACAACAAGTAATGGAAAGGATGTGGAGACACTGAACCCTTGTGCACTGCTGGTGGAAATGTTAAATGGTACAGCTGCTGTGGAAACTGTTGGCAGTTCCCCAAAAAATTAAACGTTGAGTTACCATATCTAACAATTCCACTGATCAGTATATACACAAAAGAATTGAAAGCAGGGACTCAAACGTGTTTGTACATCCATGTTCATAACAGTATTTATGATGGCCAAAATGTGGAAGTAACCCAAGTATCCTTCAACAGGTGAATGGACAAAATATTTTATGCCATAACACACAATGAAATATTGTCCAGCCATAAAAAAGAATGAAATTCTGATACATGCTACAACATGGATGAACCTTGAAAACATGCTATATAAAATAAGCCAGACAAAAAAGACTTAATACTCTATGATTCCGTTTCAATGAATATCCAGAAATAGGCAAATCCATAAAAACAAAATAGAGGTTATCAGGGGCTGAAAGGAAGGGGGAATGGAGAGTTACTGTTTAATGGGCACAGACTTCCTGTTTGGGAAGACAAAAAAAGTTCTGGAAATAGTGGTGATGGTTACACATTGTGAATATACTTAATAATGCCACTGAATTGTACACTTAACAGTGGCTAAAATGCCACATTTAAATTGAAGTTAGAACACATCCTCTCACCATACACAAAAATAAACTCAAAATGGCTTAAAGACTTAAACATAAGACATGACACCGTAAAGCTCCTAGAAGAGAACACAGGCAAAACATTTTGACATAAATTGTACCAGTGTTTTCCTGGGTCACTCTACCAAAGCAATACAAATAAAAGCAAAAATAAACAAATGGGACCTAATCAAACTTACAAGCTTTTTGCACAGCAAAAGAAACCATTAAAAAACCAAAAAGACAACCTACAGAATGGGAGAAAATATTTGCAAATGATGCAACCAATAAGGGCTTAATTTCCAAAATATACAAACAGCTCATAAAACTCAATAACAAAAAAACAAACAACCCAATTGAAAAATGAGCAGAAGACCTAAATAGACATTTCTCCAAAGAAGAAATACAAATGGCCAATAGGCACAAGATGCTCAACATCACTAGAGAAATGCAAATCAAAACTACAGTGAGGTATCACCTCACACCAGTCAGAATGGCCATCATTAAAAAGTCTACAAATAACAAATGCTGGAGAAGGTGTGGAGAAAAGGGAACCCTCCTACACTGTTGGTGGGAATGTAAGTTGGTGCAGCCACCGTGGACAAAAGTATGGCGGTTCCTCAAAAAACTAAAAATAGAGTTACCATATGACCCATCAATCCCACTCCTAGGCATATATCAAGACAAAACTCTAATCCAAAAAGATACATGCACCCCTATGTTCACAGCAGCACTATTCACAATAGGCAAGACATGGAAACAACCTAAATGTCCATCGACAGATGAGTGGATAAAGAAGACGTGGTACATATGTACAATGGAATATTACTCAGCCATAAAAAAGAACGAAATAATGCCATTTGCAGCAACATGGATGCAATTAGAGATTACCATACTAAGTGAAGTAAGTCAGAAACACAAATACCACATGATATCACATACATGGAATCTAAAATATGACACAAATGAACCTATCTGCGAAACAGAAGCAAACTCAGAACAGACTGGTGGTTGCCAAGGGGGAGGGACTTGGGGGAGGGATGGAGTGGGAGGTGGGGTTAGCAGATGTAAGCTTTTATATAGAGAATGGATAAAGTCCTACTGTCTAGCACAGAGAACTATATTCAGTATCCTATGATAAACCATAATGGAAAATATTTTTTAAAAGAATGTATATGTATGTACATATACATATGTATGTATGAATCACTTTGCTGTATAGCAGAAATTAACACAACATTGTAAATCAG